TTTCCCCCAAAGTCCAAAGACATGCGCTATAGTTGAATTGGATAAGCTAAATTGTCCATAGTGCATGTGTGTGAATGAGAGTGTATGGGTGTTTCCCAGTGATGGGTTGCAACTGGAAGGGCATCCGCTGCGTAAAACATATGCTGGATAAATTGGCGGTTCATTCTCCTGTGGTGACCCCAGATTAATAAAGGGACTAAGCCGAAAAGAAAATGAATGAATGAATGATGTATTTGTTTATGTCAAGCTGTCATAAAAAAGACATCTCAGCATGTCACCTTTGCAGTTAATATACAGTAACAACTGATTTAACGACACTTAAGCATGCATAAAGTCTAATTCATATTCATGACATGTTTAAAGGTTTTATGACTCACATCTTATGAACATGCCTTCAAGTAAATTGTTACCAAAATGAGTGCATTTGCATGTTTAAATATAGCATTTTAGAATTTTGTTTGCAAATTTTTGAATGTAATTAATCATTTGCAAAAGCATGATGATAATTATTACAGTAGTTAAATGTTTACCCCATTTACCTGCAATAATTTGCCTTCATAAAGAAAAAAAAAACACTCTAGGGATGGATCTACATCTCTAAAAAAGGAAGGCTGATGTTGGGGATTATCCAATATATCCAGATCCCTCCTAAAAAGCGGCACACTGGGGAACTGGCTTCAGATAATCATGCTTGTTCAGTGCTGGTGTCTGCTCTCGGTTAGCAAGCGTGTCCGAGGGGAAACAGAGGCAAAGAAACAGCTTTAAAGGCCGATGGTCTGGAACAGTGGACCAGCCACGGGCAGATTAAAAAAGAAAAGAGGAAAAAAAATCGGACAGAAGCTTTTAGGAAGAATCTGAAGGCAGTGGCGCTGTATGTCTGTGTGTAAAGTCACCGCAGCATTCATCTGTCTCCTGGCCAGGGGAGTCAGACACTCATATAGAGCATGACTTCAAAGAGACGCCCCTTCATTTCCAAATCTGTGCCTACCTCCTCACTGCGCCATGCTAATTAAAGTAGCTCCTACCTCCAGATCTCTCATCCAAATCCCTGAAACGTAAGAAAGTTACATCACATCTCTATCCGCAACTAATAGGAAATGTTAAAGCGTGCCAGTAAACTTCTGATATAAGACAGAGCAATTTTTTTGCATTGATGTCTGAATTAGAAACGTTTTAAGCCGAGGTTCTGGAATGTGGAAGACATTGCTAACTAAGCGCTGTGATGAAGCTAACAAACCATGTAATTTGGAGAGGACCCATGCGCTTGTCAGAGTGATAACAGGAAATTATGAATCACACATAGCCTTCATATGCCCTCTGCCCCCACATAAACAATGCAAGCTTCTGGCACAAATTGCATCTCAAGCTAATATGAGCAGCGGGATATTATTCACTTGGAGTGTACTGTTCAAAAGCTTTTTGACTTTGGTTAAGATATTTTTAAGGACTTAAACTGCGTTTGTTGAATAAATATTTATAAAGTAAATTAGCGTGTTTTTATTGAAAATGTAACTTATTACCGTGAAGATTGTCACAACTTTTTCTGTATTTTATAAAAAACATACAGGTACAGTGCTTAGCATATTTAAGTACACCAAATTTTAAAAATGAATTTTTGTATCAATCTCTAAGTGAATATAGGTAGTGCATTTAAACAAAACAGATTTATTAAAAATATATATTCATTAAAATAATAGTTTTTTGGCTTCTCTTGATTTTAAGTCTTTTTAAAATTTTTATTTAATATAATCTATAACATATACATTTGGGTGCACTAGTTTTTGGACCGTTATCGTAAGTTATTTTAAGATGTATAAATATAATTTATTCTATTTAATTTTTGGGGTGACTCTTTAATCTACTGATTACATTTATTCTAAATTACAAATAAAAATGTTGTCTTTTAGAGCATAAAGTGACAATTGCTCAAAAGAAGTTTTAAATATTAGCATTATACCCTTACTCATTATACATTTTATTGTCACATAAAATTGATCATTTCTGAATCAAAGAGAAATTATAGTCCACATTGTGGTGATTTTATTAGGTGTACAGTAATGTTGCTACATATTCCACTTTTATACATTATTGTTACACACACAGTAATTATTACTATATGCCTGTTATAGTACGATGCATCATTGGTGAAAAGAACAATGTAGTGACGAGTGTTTCCCAAAACTGTGGTTGCTTTTTCACAGATCCATCGTTTGAACCATGTTAGTCATAACATAAAATGTCCGTAATGACGCTCTAAATGGCGTGGAGAGAGAAAAAAAACATAATCTTTTGTGCAAATGATATGGTTTTATGATATTAGTTTTCTTTGTAGAGGGCCTGTTTTCTTTACAAAGATGAATGAGAATATTTTATGTTGTATTCTAAAACATGAACTAGCTAACATGTATTTTAATCTCATATCATATAAATTGTTAATGGTTGTAATTTACAATAGGCTATTTATTAAGAAATGAAAAAACCCTACTTAATAATAATAATAATAATAATAATAACAATAATAATAATAATAATTATTATTATTATTATTAATATTAATTTTATTATAATTATTACTATTATTGATTTCATTGTTATTATTACGTGGGATATTTTTTATTTATTTATTTATTGTATTAATTTTTTTAAAGTCTACTTTTACAATTTGACACATTCAAACCACTGCAGAAATGTTCTAACCAACAGGCCCATGTCATACAGTGCAGATACATTTCCTAATAAATAACCTACTATAAATGAAAAGCATTAAAGTATGCTATATATTTAAGTTTTAGCAAGCTTTGGAGATGTAATGTATATTGTGCTTTTAAATAATAGATCAGCTATAGCTTTCATCATCATGAGCCACGGCTCCATTTAAAATGGTGTTTAATCTTTTCAGAGTGCACTATGAAGGGAGTGCAATTGTCAATATGAAGATCTCTAAAACTGAACTGTAAAATGTATGTTGAAAGCAAATTAAACCTAAGAGAGATGACTTTAATGTGAAAGGTGTAGTTGCAAGCGTACAAGTTTTCGATGCAGTTTGCGAATGTTCATTAGAATGATGAATTTGGGAAATGCCAATTCAACAAACTATGTTTGTAACGACGGAACTTGCGACTTTGGTTGGCTAACTATAGTTTTCGGAAATGCACCCCTGAGTGATCTTTAAAACCACCAATGACTCTTAAATACAAGTAGTTTGTATTGTATATTGCACTGCAATACTTAATTAATCATTATAATTGATCGTTAACAAAATATAAGAATACAATTATTAGGCACATTATAAATGTGCTTATGAGAACACAATAAATTGCTTAATAAAGTTTCACGAAACCCTCAAGTACTTTTTTTTTAGATTTTAACAGATTTGTGTGTGTTGAGCATCAGTTAAGACAATGTTAGCACATGTCAGCTTTAATTGTGGGGAAAAGTTGATAATTTTGAGCTTTTGTCAGCTAATTTCAGCTTCCGGGTTTAAAATAATTTTTGGGGCGGGATCAAAATCAGCAAAGAGCAAAGATGACACTTCGGTTTGTCATTATTTCTCATAGCTGAGTTTTCTTATCCAATGTGAAGAGCCTGCTTCTTACTTTAGTTATGACTGCACATGCTTTTCAAGGCAAGGCAGACCTGTCAGTGCCAAGCTGTGAGACACAGATCAACGACACAGTATTTAGCTGTTCATGAAGGGTCGTATGTGTTTGTTACCATGATCCACGGGGATTGTTGCATTTTTTCCCCCATGGTGCTGTCAGGGCTGATACAGCAAAAGTATATGTGTGCAGCAAGCGTTTTTGTCGGGAGAGCAGTACGAGAATTGGAGAATGGCAGACTTTTTTTATCAGGAGTTCGTTCACATTTAGACACATCGCTGTGCTGCTGTGTTTGCCTAAATCTTCTAGATTACCATCAGGGCTAATGGTTAAAATAGACAAGGCAAGAGACCTGCTGCACTGAATCTGCATTCAGACCCGGGGATTGAGGGAAAAGTCCTCATTTATAGTGTTTATATGAACCCGACTATCTTTATAATGATATAAATTGTGGTTGTGTTTATATAAAATTACGAATAACAAATGTAGCAGGGCATTAAATTACTGTTTATTTGGTTGCATTTTAACTTTGTAAACTACAAAATCATGCGTCTCCTCAAGGTTTGTGTCTCATTTTGTTAACCAAGAGTGTATATGCTAAAGCATGCTAATAGGACTTTTAATTTGCCAATTGCCAATGAAAAAATCTGTGCGTTTAAGGTCAGTTTTTTTTAAACATCAGCAATCTCCACTGGCTGAGTAATGTCCGATATAAAGTAAGTCTCAGATTGTACAAGAAGCACTGCATTAAGCACTGCAAAAAGCACTGCATTTCTTTATAATATGAGCATTTATTTTACCCCAGTATATTCAATGGAGCTTCTAGTCTGCCAATTCTGACAGGCGAGTGCGAGTGTGGCCTTTTGTCTCGTTTTATGCTTGAACAACTAAATGAATGCCAAAGTTTTTATTTAACTGAATGTATTTTAATTACATTGCAACATCGATGCTGTAAAAGGAACCATATAAGATGGAAAAAAATCCACAATAACATGTCACCGGAAGTTTATTAGTATTGGAACAACACTAGCTTGGCATATACCTTAGTTCAGCCAAGTTGTTCGCTCCCCTCCTTCTCCCCTGCTGGCCACGCCCACTCCTGCCCTTTGCTCGTGGAGCTCCACGCCCATTATGATGTATCTTTTGAAAAAAATTCTGAGGTAGACCTGAACCGAAAGTGGGGGGTGTCATGACCCTTTATTCTCTATTAATGTAGAGTTAATGCTTAGTAAATGATGAATTAACTATTTCTTAATGCTTAATAAATAAATCATAATATGTGGTTATTATAGTGTTACATATTTTTAAAAGCCTGTACCACCATAGTATGCTCTCAGCAGAGTACACCATAACTGTCAAACACAGTTCAGTTGTAAAAATTGTCTTTATACATGCCCGCAGGTTTGATTTACTAGTGAACGGAGGCAAGGCACTGACAATGCGCTTCGAGCGCGCTCCATACTCCGCTGTGCATCGCACGGTTTGGCTGTCCTGGAGAGTTTTCCACGTGATGGACACACTTGTCATGAGGAAAGAGGAAAGAGACATGCCAACGTGTGAATTCAGTGGCCTTGACAGACCCTCACCCCGAATCACAGCGTCACCGCTCTCCACCTTCTACCGCTCCAGTCCCGAGGCCAGTCCCATCATTCCTGAGACACAGGTGAGACACACGTCTGGGAGGAAAATGAGGCTTTTGAAAATCAGAATAAATTTGTCTGTGCCTCAAGCTCGTCTGAGCCATGTGATTTAATGACACAACAAGAAATGGGGATTTTTACATACCGTATGGTCAAGAACTACACAACCACAAATAGAAATTTCTTCGGGGATCAGGTTTAATTAATTTCTGAATATATTTGTGGTAAATAATTTATTTGATGTGACTTGTCATTCTCAAGGGGATAGTATGATGCTTGTAGAACATTGCATCAGTTCTGTCTTTAAAGTTCCAATTAATTTTAGACTCTTTAATTTTGGGGGGTAAAGTAATTTGTTACAAATAGTGATTGAATTTTTTTTTTCTACATTTAATAAAATATTAATTTGTCTTAAAGGGCACCCATGATAAAAATCATCTTTTGTAAGCAGTTTGGACAGAACTGTGTGTAGGTATAGTGTGTCCACTGCCATATTGGGGTGATATAAAGATAATAATTCTCTCTTTTTTCAATTTCCTGACGTTAAATTAGAATCCAAATCCCTCCCATTTTGAGCCCCACTGCAACATGATGTAGGAGTGTGGTTTCCCCATCCAACGAACTGATTAACAGACGTGTATTAACATGTTTCCGTAGTAACACAAGTAATCATATCAACAAGACAGGATGTGCGCAAAGCAACTGGGATTAAAAGATCTGTTGAGCTCTCTGTGATCATCAATCATCATTAAATGTGATCAAGAATGAGTTTTACAAGTTTAAAACTTAGAATTAACTCAAATTAAATTAACTCCACAGCAAATACATCTAATAATCATTGTTAAACTTCTTACTGTAGTATTTCTCACAAATGTTACATGAGATCTGCTTCCTTCATGTCTGTCACTGTGCTGTTTATCTGCTGCAGCCAGAGTGATTAAGGCACACTCTGACAGACACGTGTAAACGGTGGGCAGGGAGAACTTGCATTATAGGCACAGGCAACAAAAACAGCTACATTGTGTTCAAAGTAGAAAATTCCTACATTCTGAAAGGCATAATATATAATCTGATGGGTGTTTTGAGCTAAAACTTTACAGACACTTTCTGAGGACATATCTTAAACCTTGAAAAGCAGGTAAAACAGGTGCCCTTTAAAGCTTTTAATGATATTAAAATCATTTAAGTTTCATTAGCTTAAGTAATCATTAGTTTACTGCTTAAACTTTTTATGCAATTTTTTTAAAGAATAGTTCAAAAAAAGACATTTATCTGTATCTATACAGATAAATTTATCTAATTTATTTAAACTGTATCTATACAGTGCATTTATTAACTGTATCTATATATACAGTTGAAGTCAAAATTATAAGCCATCAGGTAATTCTTTTTCTTTTTCAAATATTTCCCAAATGAATTTTATTAGAGCAAGGAATTTTCACAGTATTTCCTATACTGTTTTTTCTTTTGGAGAAATTCTTGTTTTATTTTGGCTAAAATAAAAGCAGTTTTTAATTTTTAAAAGCCATTTTAAGGTCAATAATATTAGCCCTCTTAAGGAGTTTTTCTGATTGTCTACAGAACAAACCATTGTTATACTATAACTTGCTTAATCACTCTTGCTTAACTTAATTAGCCTAGTTAAGCCTTTAAACTGCCATTTAGGGGCATACAAGTCTCTTGAAAAGTATCTAGTCAAATATTGTAAAAAAATATATAGGTAAAATATTTACTGTCATCATGGCAAAGATAAAAGAAATTGGTTATTAGAAATGAGCTAAAATATTGAAAAAATATTTAAAAAAAATATATATTGTTTAAAATGTGTAAAACTTCTTTCCATTAAAAAATAAATAAATAGGGGAACTAATAATTCTAAGGTCTTATATATGTATGTAAACTTTTGACCTTTGATTTACATTAATCCCAGAGTAACACAGCAATACATTCCTAGTGTTTATTGATTTGATAAAGCAGTGGATTTTGTTATAAATAACAACACATTTTAATAAAAATGATAATAAGCCACCAGGAAATTTACACTGCAGGCAATTATCTTTCTCTCTCTTATGCACGTTTTTAATCACAGGTTCTTCATGAGCAGACGGCCATTCCTGGGAGTGATTTAGACTTGATTTACTTGAGCTCCCGAGCGTCAGCCTACAAACCTGTTCTGAAGGTCATCTTGACCCAGTCCAGCGTGCCCTTCGGCTTGGCTCGGGTCCACCTCATGGTGGCTGTGGAGGGACGGATGTTTCAGAAGCAGTTCCCAGCCTCAGCCCGGCTCTCTTACAGCTTTATCTGGGACAAGACAGATGCGTACAGCCAGAAAGTCTACGGACTCGCGGAGGCTGTAGGTGAGCAGTGGAACAATGGGATGAAACAGATCTATATAAAGCTCTCTGTGTATGAATATATTATTAACTCGGTCTGATTTAAACCAGGAGACTATTAATCTTATTTCACCCAGATAATTCTGCAGCAAGATGAATCTCCCTATGAACTGATAATGCAAGCCAAACCGATTAGGTGAAGAATTCTTATTATGATACAGACTAAAAGGTTGAACTTAATATTCCCTGAACCTTAAACTAATGCTTGTTAAAGGAATTTGGGACAATAGTGTGGCTTCATTTTAATGCCAGCACAAAACAGATGACTTGATGCTTGCTGAAAATACACATAGTTCAAAAAGGCAATCTCATTTTGTTAAATGTGTAGCATAGCCTAATCGTTATCTGAACCATCTTTCGCTAAACTGCCACTGGGTTGTGTTCCAGCAATAAATAAAATGTATAAGCAGCTGCATTTTTCTAGTCCATCTATATATTGCTGACCGCTCTTTGCATGTGTAATTAGTCTGCAAATGAAGCACACAGAGAAACATCAGCTTTCAGAAGGTCACAAGCCCATTTGGAAAATGTTGCAAAGGCTGAACTCGCTGTAATCATGCCAGTTGCTGAAATATGTCTTCCCTAACAATGTTATAGCTGCTGTGAAATCGTTACTGCAGCAGTTTCTCGAGTAAATAAACAGTACATTGTCAATGCTGCATATACTGTGGTGAAATTTCATATATGACGTACATGAAATTGATTTATTTAATGTTTGAATACTAACAAGACATATATATGCTTCAGATAATTGCATGTAAAATTGTGTAGAGAGACACAATAGAGGGCCGTTTTGGATCATTTTATACTTATTTTTTTACACCCTGTTGTGTCATTCACTAATCTGAACATTCATCATTAAAATAAATAATTATTGTGGACAAATTTTAAAATAGCATATGCCATTTCTATTGTATTATTATTATTATTATTATTATTATTATTATTATTATTATTATTATTATTATTATTCATTCATTTATTTATTTATTTATTTATTTATTTATTTATTTATTATCCATCATTATTATCCAGATAAAAAAAGTTGGCATAAAAAGATTTTTATAAAATAACAAAATCATGTTTTTATAGATTTATATTAACTTTTAACATAGTACAAATGATTTAACTTATATAAAGAAATATTTGGTATAAAACAGATTTTTTTACAGCAACCAGTGAAAATATTTACATGTAAAATGTAGATTTTTTTGCACAAATGACTTAATATTAGGGGCGATGCAGTGGCACAGTAGGTAGTGCTGTCGCCTCACTGCAAGAAGGTTGCTAGTTCGAGCCTCGGCTGGGTAAGTTGGTATTTCTGTGTGGAGTTTGTATGTTCTCCCCGAATTCGCATGGGTTTCCTCCATGTGCTCCGGTTTCCCCCACAGTCCAAAGACATGAGGTACAGGTGAATTGGTTAGGCTAAATTGTCTGTAGGGAATGAGTGTGTATGAATGTTTCAGAAAAATGGGTTGCAGCTGGAAGGGCAGCCGCTACGTAAAACATATGCTGGATAAGTTGGCAGCTCATTCTGCTGTGGCGACTCCGGATTAATAAAGGGACTAAGCCAAAAAGAAAATTAATGAATGAATGACTTTATATTAAAGATTGGTTCATCCAAAGCTTATGCAGTTGATACAACTAACAATCAAACAATCTCTGAGCTCACAACATTTCAGTCTTGGTTAAGAATATGTCTAAAGCAAAAGTTTAGAATTTTTACTTCCTCAACCCAACTGTTGTGTTCTTTGTCTGCCTGTTTGCATGTTTCAGCCAGTATGCAGGTGGTTTTAAACTGATGCCAAAAAGCTGATAAATATTGGTAGCCAACACACATTGCATGCCTTAAAGCAGGGCTGCTCAATCCTGTTCCTGGAGATCTACCTTCCTGCAAAACACAGCTCTCACCCTGATCAAACACACCTGAACCAATTAATTAGGACCTGAACAGCAATTGATAATTACAGGCAGGTGTTTTTGAAATGGGTAGCAACTGAAATCTACAGGAAGGAAGATCTCAAGAAACAGGATTGAGCACCCCTGCCTTAAAGTATGCTTAACATAATTTTTGTTGATGGCATTAAAAAACATTAAAGGTGTGGTGCAGAGTGTAGGGTTGGTTGTGTTTATAAGATGCAAACCAATGTGTGTTCTTGCTACATTTGTAAAAAAAAAAATCAGGTTATTTTTTCATATATCTTAATTAAATACAGCTACACAGCTAACATGAAAACTACTATCACATTTCCTTATTCCTCCGAAAGCATGTCCTCAAGAGGCTCTGATTGGTCAGTTAACATAGTGTGCTGTGATTCGGGGATCGGCTCCACATCACCAGGAAGCATCACATCCAGTCACTAGCATGCCTTCACTAGTCACTAGCTGTCCTTTGTCAAATGCTAGCTATATATTTTTTATACTTCTCTGGAACATAATTATAATTAAACTGAACTGCACCTCTCTCTTTGTGTCGTGTTCTTTAGAAGCCCAAATACAGAAACAGAAGAACCTCTGTGGAAATAGCAGCGTTTAGATGGCATTTTAGCTTTCTCTGCTATAACGTTGCAGCATCTCTGGCCACACCCCTTTGCTATGCAGGGTGTATGCGTGTGGTTTATGTGCGCAACCTGAAAGGTTTATGATCTCACGAACCCGGATGATTTTTTTGTAGTCCCTAAACTTTGTTTGCTTTAAGCTTTGCTAAGCTAACTTTGTAAAAGCCAATGTCTCCCTTTGCATTGAACTTTTAGCGATTACATGTTGATGTCGTTTTATGTTCAGACAGCTACATTACACATCAACTAAAGTATAAAATATGATACCATAGTGGACCACCTCTTTAAATTATGTAAAAAGTATTAAAATAATAATAAATACCTTATGTTTTCAGCTTTTTGTAAATTTTAAATGAGTTATTTTGTGTCTTCCTATGCTGCAGTTTCCGTGGGCTTTGAGTATGAATCATGCCTGAATGTGATCCTATGGGAAAAGCGGACAGCCACACTACAGGGATATGAGCTGGAGGCCTCCAACATGGGCGGATGGACCCTGGATAAGCATCACATCTTGGATGTGCCAAACGGTAGGAATCGCTTTTTAAACCCCATTGGAAGCAGCTCACAGGAAATGTCCCCCTCAACAACTCAGGGGTCAGTGCCTCTACCTGGACCCATTGTCATAAATATTCATCTTAACATGAAATATGGACCACTGCCTCATTTGCACATAATAAAGCAGACTTTGAAAGGGCTAATCGCTCACAGTGATGACAGATTAAATCGGAATCATTAACACAGCTTGCCAAGTCTGAGCTGTGCTCTCCAACATTATAGGGGACATGATTTGGCTGAATGAACTTTATCCAGTTTTCAGGCGCAGAATGCATACTTATAGCTTAATTCAATAAAAGTGCCATTAAAACACAAGCGCGGATATGGAAATGTGGCATTATTCCACCAGACATTCCTTTTGCCTTTGTCTTCATAATGAAACAGGGTGACAGCGAAACCCATTCTGTCAGCTTAAATCTTCACATTCGCACACATAATGGCATCTTTTTTTTTTTATTCTGGGCGAACGATGAAGCGTGCGCAGTTTGAACCTCATCCAGCAGTCATATTTAATGGTGCGTTTTGGGAAGGAAGTCAACTCTGCAGCACACACCGATGCTCTAAAGGAAAACACCAGATTAGACTGACACTTTTCAGGTGCGGTTTGTCTCAGGTCATTTCTCTGGAGTTAGTTAGTGTGACAACATCTGATTGTACCTCGATTGAAGCAAAGCATCTAAGCCTCTTTTTGATTGCTGGCTAAATGCCCAGTTAGCTTTGGGATTTCCACAGCCTTTAATCTGACGACCTGCCGAACAAATGGTCATGGCCGTCTGCTCATCCCTTCTTTTTGCACCTCTAGACAGTTTATCTAGTTTAAGCACTGTTCCTGCCAATAAGGCTCCCGTTCTCAATTTACACCTTGAGCGCCAGAGTGGATTAATCCAATTGCAGATTTTCAAAGATATCGAGGTGGTGTATATCATTATCTTATTTAAGATTAGACCATTGTTGTGAAAATGCTTTGGTTTGGGCATGTCGTTGTTTCGGTTAAGACGTTAATTATTGTAAGTTAATTAATTTGACAAATTCAGTAGGATGCATTAAATCACTGACTGCACTGTTGATGCAGGTATACAACACCATACTTTGTTTTTGATCACACTCTACTTTAAGGTTACATTAGTTGATGTTATGTATTTACTATAATGAACTAATAGTGAACTACAGCATTCATTAATCACAGTTTAACATCTGCTAATGCATTATTAAAATCCAAATTCATGCTTGTTAACATTAATGCACGGCGAGGTATATATTTTCATTGAATAATATTTATAAATACTGTAACAATTGTATTTGTGTGTGTTCATGCTAGCAAACACATTATCTAAAATTAACTAATACAAACTTATTGCAAAGTGTTATTTATACTACTTTTGCTCACTGCTGACATTCATAGACTCCGCATTGAAGATTAACGGCATTGTTTTTGTGAACTAAATCTGTCAAAAAACTCACTGAAACAGTTGAAAGCGACGGAACAAAAAGCCCAGGAACTGCATTCTGACGGAAGGCACTGAGGCATAGAGCATCTGTCCTAGAGCTCTCAGCTCTGTTAAATATAAAACGCTAACATGATTTGTCTGTTCGTCATCTACTCATAATTCAGTTAGCAGGTTTGTGGTTAGGTGAGTTTCACACTGGGTTACTCAATATTTATCTACAGTGTGTGCCTATAATCTTCTTAGGCATCGACTTAAAGGTTTACTTAGAAAAGAATGGCTCTTAAAAGAGCTTAAGGCATAAATCTGGCTCACCCTGGATAATCTGAATTCTCTAAATTAGATGAAAGCTTTGCGCATTTGGCCATGTCACCTTTAACTTCTTTACGATTAGTGCGATTCTGTACATCAGTGCTTTTGTCCTGAAGAACATGTCACAAATGTAATCAATTTGCCAAAGGGAGATCTTCTCTTTGACAGTCTCATTTGTCTGGCTGATTGATAATGCAGAGCGTCTAATATCTACGGCTTACAGGTCTGATCAGCAGTCACCCGCTGTGCATACTGCGTGTCTAGGCATATGTGTATGTCTTTAAGCATTAGCTACACAACCTTTTCCTTATACCACTGTACTCTAAGTGTTATTTTAAATTAATCTCAAATGTTTAGTTTCATATTAATCTCAAGTGTTTAGTTTTATAGTAATATCTGAGATATTATGTGTATTTTATTAAAAAAATTTTTGAAAGCTTGAACAGCAAGTTTCGCAATGAGCAAAGTAGCTTATGAGTAATAAAATTGTTGGTCTTAATTTTAAATACAGTTCTGTGATGTTTTAAACTAGATTTAAATTAAGGGCATTATGTTTATGCGGCACAGTGGTTCGGTGGTTTGAGTCCCAGCTGAACCAGGAAACATACATTTCTGTGTGGAGTTTGCATGTTCCCCTTGTGTTCACGTGGGTTTCTTCTGGGTGCTCTGGTTTCCCCCACAGTTCAAAGACATGTGGTATACAGTAGGTGAATTGAATAAACTAAATGTCCGTAGCATAGGGCTGCACGATATTTGTAAAACTTGCACTGCATTATTTTATTCTGTGATACATATTGCTATACTGAGTATAATAATTACAGATGAAATGAATAGCTTTATTCAAAATGAATGAATAATCTTTGGAAATTTTGTTATTTATTTACATATCGTCACCTTGGAATTATAAGGTTCTATCTGCTTTCTGAATGATTTTGAGATACTGAGCTTCAAATTTTTTGCATTCCATATAAAACAGTATGTGTGTAACATTGATTCTTTTAAATAAAGTCTTAAGGTGTAAACAACTTATAAAAAACATCCCATAATGTAAATAAGTTGTCATTTAATGAGTATATGTCAATAACTAAATTTTGACAAAAATGTCAGATAGACCCTTATAATTCTAAGCTGAGGATATATTATGCAATAATTTTAGGACAATAATAAGACGATTTTGTAGTAAAGCACATCTGTATAAAATGTAATAAACCAAATCACAAGCTCTAAAAACTACAGTAAAGCGAAGTTACAGAAGAAATAAATGCTTTATTTATGTTTTGTTTATTTGGATTTTATGTTTCTAACAGTAATGTAATAATGTAATTATATTAATGTAATATAAATAACACTGTATAATGCTTATTGCATATATACAGCACAAAAATACAATTAATGTAATTGAAGTTACTAGAATTTAAATTTTTGAGCCTCAATGCTTTAACTGGCTTGAAATGCAAACAGTTACATGCAAATTATACAATTTTTTGGAAACTTTATGGTTAAACTATGCGATTACTCCACAATTACGTGTGTTTTTAATGCCTTCTCAACTAAAATCCTGATTCAACGTTGCAGATCCTGTGATGTGACTACAACAAATACGCACATTGCAATGTTGATGCTGAAGCGATATATTGTGCAGCCCTACTGTAGTGTATAAAGGGTGTGTGTGGGTGTTTTCCCAGTACTGTGCTGTGTCTGGAAGAGCATCCGCTGTGTTCCGTCGCATCCGCATATTCGGCTGTGGCGACCCCTGAAATAAGTGAAAAGAACATGAATGAATCACATTATGTTCAAAATGCTCTATTATGCCTTTTTAAATTCCTGTTTAATGCCGTTTTTTGAATGCAAAAATCAGCATTGACAAATGAAGTTAATGGGCTCTATTTCAACGTTCTAGGTGCAAAGTCTAAAGCGCATGGCGCAAAAGCATTAAGGGCCTGTCTGAATCCACTTTTGCTATTTTAAGGACAGAAAAATATTATTTGTGCATTTTTGGTTCAAGCATTTTTTAATAACGTTAATGTAAATAGTTGTAAATTAATGTCAAATAAATCATTTAATGGGTTACTTAAATGAAAACTTTAATGATTATTCACTTTTTAGCTTACTAATCAAATGAATTATTGATATTAAAAAATAAATGAATACTTGTCTTAGACTTTTGCAGCATATTGTAGGTATCAATCCGTAACCTTTTTGGCGAATTTTTCCAATATGGCAAATTGCTTAGCCTCAAGCGTCTTTATGAATGCTGCAGAACACCTAGATGAGTTGATATTCAGCTTGTTTGCTTGACATTTACCAAATAGTTTTATTTATCCCATTGCTATTTGATCAGCATATTTGCTCAGTGAATAATCAATAAGCATAAGCATTGCATTACTGTAGATGACATTGAAGGAAATTTCCATTTATAGAGTTTTTGTTGTACTTTATAGACATGAACATGTAGCTGCGAGTGGCCAGAGCAATCAACTGCGTTTCACCTTAAGTTCTAGCCATAAAGTCACAAGTTAATCAGTCCACAATTTACAGCATCTGCTCTGCATGGAAATGAGTAATGCTAATGAAAATTGTGCACTCTAAATGTAATTATTTTGTGACGCTGCTTGTAATTAGTGCTTCTCAAAACTCCTGCGCACACGTTTGTGCTATGAATATTTGTGAATAATTGTGAGGCTTGTTGACGACGGCATTGGTGTAATTACTTTGCTAAGCAATTGGTTTTATTGTTACTGGAGAATGATGAAAGGGCAAAATCTGTCAGTTAATACATGGATGGACGTGATGAATAACAAAAACTGTTCTCAGTAATATACTGTAGAGTTTTTTAATGTTATACTATATATTTTTAATATATAGTCTTTAATTTACTTTTTAATAATATTTAGTTTGACTATTTCTTTTTTTGGCTTAGTAATTTTTTTGTTTATTCATCGTAAATGTCCGTTATTTTTTTAGTTCATCGTAATTTCTAAAGCGCTTTTACAATGTAAATTAACACAGAAGTTCTAGTAAATTGAAACTGTCAGTCCAGTTTTCAGAGCTGGAGTTCAGTTTAGTTAATTTCAGTTTAGTTTATATTTCACTGCTGAAAGTCCAAACACTAAAGAGCAAATCAATAGATGCCCAGCTCCACAAGTCCCAAATAAAGCAAGCCAATGGCGACAGTGGCAAGGAATAAGATTGCACCAATTAACGAAAGTGAAGGA